CATTTAATAAATTCCTGGGTGTGTAGAACTCCACCATGACATACTTTAATTCATGTCTGTTCCACAGAGAGTATATGAGACGGGAATGCAGTTTAAGTTTTAACTGGGCTCAAATTGGCTTATTCGGACAACTCAGGTGCCCAGCTACTCTGCACGAAGATACTAATTACTATCGACAAGGATGCAGTCAAACCTTCCTAATCCCCCATAGCTGATGGTTTAGGTTAGGGAAAGTAACCTCATATTGGCTTTTTAGGTGAAAGGGAAGGGCAGTAAAAACAGTTAAAAAGCATAGGGCTCCAAGACAAGGATAATAACAAACAGAATCCTAGAGTTTTCTTCTCTGTTTCTCTGTGCACTATGGGCCTTATCTGTCTGAATAGAAATAGATTAGAATTGTTTAATATGCATTATGTATTTGCGATAACTAGAGGTTCAAAGAACAAAAAAAAAATCATAAGTGAAGGGCAAGTGTCTCCAAGGAGCCTTAGTGTTTCTTCACTTTTATCTGTGACCAAACTGTTATTGCTCAAACAAACACTCACCTGCCACTGACCAGTAAAACGTTACCCTGTTACTAGCATCCCCCAACAAGGCTGGAATTCTAGACAGCTAGACTGTGAATTTAAGCCTCTGAACCCAGCCTCTAATAAGTTATAACAGTTTTAATGAAATACACCTTATGCTGATTGCAGGCCAATATAAAACTAATTTAATCATATTTGTTCATAAACAGTTGACTATGAGGTCCTTATCATTGGTGTCTTTCATCTTTGTATACTATCAGTCAAAAATAATTGTCCACATGTACATATGCCATACATTGATGTTTACCAACTGCTTATCCTGACTGTTCACTTGAAAACACAACAAATGATGGTTATTCAAGGAAGACAATGCAAGGTGCCAGACAGTTCAACAGGTGAAATTCAGGCACAATTTAAATCCTATTGAGATTATGTTGGGAACTTTGTTGTACTTTGGGAAATGCGTGAAGAAGAAAAATCCAATGGTCTGTGGACAGTAGTGAAAAATGTTTGGAAAGCAATTGCTTTAAATCATTTTGAAAACTTTAGGCAGTATTAGAGGTGAGTATGAGTCAATACCGAGACACATCAGGTTCAAGTCAAGACTAAGCCTTGGAGTGGTAAGAGAGACAAGGTAGAGATCAGATTAAGATTTTTTTCAAAATATCAAAAATAAAGGGTACACAATGTACATCCATTTTTATTATTAAATTAAAATGTAATAACAGTAATAATAACATTCCAATCTGCCCTCAAGGGATGTTTGAATTTTAGAACCAATGAACATCGACAAACAAATAGTTCCCAGTTAAACCGCCATTGTAAGGATCGACTAGATCCTCATCTGGCAGCAAACATATATAATTTAAATATGTAGAGAGTGGACTGTTGATCTTCAATTTTGACAGAAACAAAACCAGTACCAAGTTACATCGCAAAACGTTGCAATAGCTAAGTAAATGCAGATTCAGTGTACAATGCAATTTAATTTGCTCATTTAAAAATGTTCCTTTCACTAATTAATTCCTCATCAGTGTGCCCACCAGTGACATACTAAAGCTTATACTTGTTACATTCCAGGTTACTATGAGGCAGGTTAAGGTTTGACATTTCCGCCGGGTCCAAAGCAGCTTATTGGGACATTTGGGGTGCCTGGTTACCCTGAACATCACATTCTAATTACTATTGACAAGGATGCAGTCCAAACCTCCCTAATCCCTCCGGATTGATGGTTCAGGTTAGGGAAAGAGGGGTTTAACAGAAAACCTCCACGGGGTCAGGCTTTAATCTTTCACCACATCCTGCTGGGCATTTTCCTCCCCTAACCTCAACTGTTTTGTCTATTGTGAACAAGTGGAACAGGAGGAAGTTAACACTGGCAGTCCAGGGGATGCACAATGATGAAGATGGACCTAGCAAGAAGAGTGAGAGCAGTCTGTAAACTTTTAATTTCATTCTTTCATTTTTCAAATATTAGGTGACACATAGGTCCTTCAATTCTGTTGAGAGAATGATTGAAGTTTATGCTGAAGATTCTCAGAATTAGCAGAATTAGCCAAAAGTAATACTTGAATGTCTAATGAAAGAATAGCATTGTACTATTATATATTTATTTAAATCAAATAACCTTTTGAGAAGAGATTAGGATTATGTTCAATGATCAGGAATGATTAAGGCAACTGTATTAGAAGCATGACAGTAGTGTATTGACAGTATTTGGGAGGAATTCTTCTGCAGTTTTTCAACACTGATTGATTGATTTTTGTAGATAAAATGTATTTAAAACAGCACACATTAGAAAAATGGATTATGGAGAATGATGGATCAAGCAAATTCTGCAAAAGCTTTTCCACCCATCGCGTGTTGCAGCATTTTATCAGCTGTATGTCTGGAATTCCGCTAGTTCTGAACTATTCGTGATTGGTAAAAGTTCACTACTAGCAGAACTCGGATTTACACCTGAATGCCAACGGAAGCCCAGGCTCATGTCACAGTCTGGTCTTCAATAAATGATATTCGTCATCTGGTATTTCCCTTTTCAGATTTTGTTTTTGCATTTCTTTAGGCCTGAAATGTACACTTAATAAAAGTGAACAGGCTTTGCTGATGAAAATGATGTTAAATTAACAAGGCCGAATGTTTGTTCAAACTGTGCCTTGTTTTTTATCATCATTTTTTTTTTGTAAAAATGTAATATGCATTTTGTTTAGAAACATGGTTAGTTGTAGCACCATGAAGTTTTTGCTAATTTCTGCCTTCTTTTCTGCAGCAGAGTTTTCATCTGAGAGAAATTGAAAGTTTGTATTTATTTACAGCGCTGGAAATAAGACTTCAAGTAAGTTTTACAAATGCAAAAAAAAAGATTACTTTTTAATTTAATTACAAATGTATTTTTAGTATGTCATGCTATCAGCACTGTACATGTTAGAATTTGCTGCATTTTAGATGTATACCTCTATACCCTGCTGAAAAGCAGCACAGCCCAGCAAGCTTTTTATGGTGGTCTAAGCTGGTCTAGTGCTGGTGTGGTTCTGGTTTAACTCTTCACCCCAGCATGGTCATGCAGGTCGACCAGTATACCAGCCTCAAAAGTCAACATATGCTGGTTTTGGTGGTGATCACTCTATATCAATTTCCATTGCTGCTGACAAGCACACCAGCATCCAAATATATGCCAGTTTTGCTGGTGACCAGCCATGCTGATCTATGCTGGTTTTTCCTAGCAGAATAAACATACCTTTATAGCATTAATAGCATTAATTATGCATTTAATCAATCAAAAATACTGAGATATGAGTAGAGTTTACGTGTTAGAGTTAGATGTGGTAAACGGGATTTATATGTTTTAATGGGTTTTTATGTTTCTCTTGTCTGAATGCCATGATGACAAAGAACAATGCAGTGACTAACTAAGCAGATTCATGTGTAACTGCAACTCCTCCTTCTGTTGCTGCCCCCTAGTGTTTAGGACATGTAATGGTGAAGGAGAAGCAGCAGCTGAACAAGGCCCTGGCAATATTTAAAGGGGCACTGCAGCCAAAAAGAAAAATTTAAACCAATGAAACATCTGTTGTTTGCCTACATATCTACTTGCCTCTTACAGTGGTACCACAGTAGTTTTAGTAGTGAGATTATCTGGTTTAAAGACTAGGAAAGCCTTCTTGGTAATGTTTTCTGAAAGTGGGAGAAACTTTTGAAAAACTACAAGTACTTTAGGACTGATACTTGCGGGCAGGCTTTATTATTTATTTGTCTCTACATAAGTGGTATATCAGATGATTTCTTTATTGCATTGGGAATACCCATTGACTGATATAACACACTGGTGTAATATGCTGTGTAATGTAGTGAGAAAATGAACAAAAACACAAAAAGGATACAAAACCATGAATTCTGTCAAAGTAATGAGGCTGAGGGATACATCATGACATTCTGCATGACAGAAAATATGTGTTAAATGCTAGTTTTCAGCCTAAATGACCATCACTCTTAATCACCCTGTTTTGGTTCAATCTCAAATCTGTCTGCATTGATGATTTTGATTGTGATTTCTGACTGTTTGTATTGGTTTTCAGTCTGCAACCAAAGGGAACGATGAGTGTTAAACCTTCACAAGGATGGTGATCCAGAGCTTTAGTGCCTCGGTTATAAATTATAAAGGGAATGCCACTGGGCCTTGGGTCCATCCCAAAGACCTTGGTCAACTAACAATCTGTTGTACATCTTGGAAAGTGGAGCCAGTGTCCAGATGACCAGAGCAAACATGTCATGAAGAGATATGGTGCTGTATATGTTTGAAGTAGTAAATGATGCCAACCTCTTCCCTAAATGTACTAATTTTGTAATCATTGCCAAAATAGCTCTTTTCAAAGTAGTTTCAGCCTGGTGTGATTCATGTCAAGGTTTATTATAGATAATGCAGATGACACTTATTAAATCTATATCTAACTCCACCTAAGGAAATGCACACAAACTTTGCACACATTCACACCACATTTTCTTTCATACTTTGCCTTTATTGTAAATGTTTTTTTTTCTTTTTTTTCATAAAACCATGCACTTGTACTATATTTTGAAACAATGCCATTAAAAGTAAAAATAAAATCCTACTTGATATGTATTCATTATTTACATTGCAAAAAAAAAAAAATCTTCACCAAAGTCATCATATGAACCGAAGACATTTCACAGGACAACAGAGCTCCATGACTTCTGTCACTGAACTACAAAATTACCTTTACCTTTGGGTAAGTCAGAAGAGAAATGCTGAAATTTTGGAATTTTCTCTGTAAATAAGCAACACAAGGTAATACAATGGCTACATATGTGAATGTGTGTGTGTGTATCTGATTACTAGAAATGATATTCTTCATTTACAGCCACAGAAACACACTCTTTCTGCAGACATCTTCTGAACAACCCAAAAATGTAATAATGCTGCGGATAAAAGCTGCAGGTCTGTGTGATTCTCCGTTTATTTCTCTGGTCCTACAGAAGACACCTGGGTCACCTGAGATGAAGTGGAGGCATCTTCATCATCTCCAAACGGATTCTTACCACAGAAAATCATCTTCATCATGCAGGAGCGGAACTGGAGTTCAAACACATAAGAGATTTATAACGTAGGAAATTTTAGACACATAGTTTCAGCGATGGTTCACACAATACTAGAAAAAAACCTTAATTGTTCTATATAGAACCATGGACACTCGAAGAACCATTTGCATGCATTAATGCATAAACCCTTGAAGAACCATCATTTTTAACAGTGTAGGACCTCAAAGTTTAATGTGAAATGCTCTGTTCTAGAGAAAAAAAAGAGTCAGGATTGTTCAGAGTGATAGTGACAGGAACTAGAAGCCCGAAGTGTTTCATGTAAAAGCTATCTCGCAGAAATCACTGCATGCAGTGGCTACAAATATGCTGCCTGATGCCTGACACATTGCGTTTTGTAATTTTAAGGTAAGGTTCAGGCCTAAAACATGTACTTTTTAATTCATTCCTAGTAGAGAGGTACATGCAGCATGTTGCTAGGCAAAAAAGTACCCAAGAAAATATATAATATATAAAATATATATTATATAAAAATTCAAAAAACACGAGTAGTTCACTAGTTGTTTTGGATAGTGAATAAAATAGATATATTTGCATTGTAGACAATTTACAAGACAAAATTCTTGTTTTCTCACAAAGTAGACTTTGATCAATTTATAGTGAGTTTTGCATGCTTCTGAAACATTCTATGAGTTTTGATTACATTGTTAGTAATGGGAACCAGACATTTGAATAATTTAGTGCCTTTACCTCACAGAATGTTATTACATTAAATAGCTTTGAATATGCTGTCTGATGCCTGAGACTTTTTTCCAACTGTTTTGAGATAAAGTTTTGGCCAAAAACGTATTTTTAAAAATCAAATAATAGATTGACCACTATTTCACCATTATCAACATTACATGTAAAAACCCAGAAGGAATATATAGGTTTACTGGTGGTTTTGGATAGTAAATAAAATTTGTGTTGTAGACATTGTGATTCCTGGTTCCTATCACCACCATTGTGAAAAAAACAGTAGGTTTCTCTACAATGAATCATTTCATATCAAACCACTCTGAATGACTTTGTTTACATTTCAATTATGAAATTATGCCAAAATCTACAAAAATCAGTGGAATTTCCCTATAAAGGATGGTGCATTGGAAGCTTCTTTAAGGAACTAAAAGTGGTTCTTCTATGCTACTGCTCAGAAACTTGGCACTTTTATTTTAAATTGTGCTTTATTTATTTTAAAATACAATTTGTGGCTGCCTCACCTGTTTGTTCATGAAGACGTAAATGATGGGGTTGTAGACCGTAGAAGATTTTGAAAAGCAGGACGGTATGGTGCCCATCCGCAGGTCAAATGTCTGGCCACGGTTGAACACCACCCACAGGGCGAAGGAGGCGTATGGCAGCCAGCAAACCAGAAAACCCAAAACCATCACCACCACCATTTTCGTCACCTCTCTCTCAGCTTTCTGTGTGGAGGCCGAGTCAGCCTGTGCTTTGGCTGCCTAATGGACATACAGAGGAACTGCTGAAATCACAGTATAAACACAAGCATTATCAGTTATACATCCTTAAAAGGCCATCTAAAGGACAACAGAGGAACTGCAAAAATACCACTGTGGTGCTGGGGGTACTAGAGGGCTTTAGTCAAGCACAATTTTGTGATTTCTCCTGCTCTGACACACCTACTAAACCTGGTAAGTATCTAATAAGTTGGATCAGGTGTGAATAGCAGAAAAAAAAAAAAAAAACATTAAACTGTCTGGACCAGAATTCATGACCTGCAGTGTAGACGACAGGCAAACTGTGTAAAAAAGGCAACAACAATATCTTAAAATATCTCTTAAATTCAACATTTCAATAACCCAAAACATTTCTACTAACACTAATCATAATCTCAACCCAAAATGTAAACATAAATGAATCTACAAATGAAAATGAGGATTAGGTTTAGGACCATAGTATAGGTTAGTCTCTGGTCCTAACACTAATCTTTATTCTAATTTTCATTTGTAGATATGCTATAAGGTACCATATTGATGATTTTCCTCAAAGCATTGTGTGTTAGAGTTAATATGTGGTTCTGGTCATATTAGCCCCTTAAAATCCCAGGCTGATAACATCCTAAGGCTTATTATTCAGTAACTGCAACTTAAATGCAAACTGGCTGAGCTATTCTTAGGTTATTTTTAAATTGGCCATTTAAAAATCTGTTTATGTGTTGCATTTGTTAGTGTCTCTGTGCTGTATTTCTTACTGATTTAAGTGTAAAGAGCAGCTGGGAGTAGCAGAAGAGGATGACAATGAAGGGGAAACCAAAGCAGAAACAGAAGAGGAACATGACATATGACTCATTGTTGTATTTGTTGTCAGTTGTGTACCAGTCTGGACCACAGGAGCACTGCAGACCCTCAGGAATGTACCTGCAGAAACAGATCAGACTGATAAAAATGGTCATATTACTTCAGCAACATTCATTTTTGTCAAAAAAAAAACGTCAAACTTCAATAAACACTATATTTATCATTTGTAATTGTAAAATATTTTTATTTTTTGTATATGAAAAAATCTAAGATGTTAAAGACAAATAGATTTTTTTCATAACTACAATAAATTGTAAAGTGACTACTACAAATTTTGTAACTATTATGATTACTCAGTACTCAGTATTTTGTAACTATTATGATTACTCAGCACTACTATTAATTATGCAGTAACTACTGTTACTTAGTAACAACTACTAATTATTCAATAATTACTATAAATTATGCAGTAACTACTATAAATTATTTGATAACTACTAAGAATGATTTGGTATTGACAATAAATTATTTAGTAACTACTATGAATCAGAGACATAGTTATGGGGGTCTATGCCCTCTCACTTGGTACCCCAGGTCTCAAACAAGGTCCTCCGATGACATTAAAATTGTTACACAGTGTAATCCAACTAGGGCTTTTACAGTACAGGATGAATCTGAAGATGCCACGTTCTTGATCTTTGGGCCTTTTCCCACCATGGCAATGCATACACGACTGCATGTTCGCATAATGTCACAGTTTTAAATCAACTTCGCAATTAAGGTATAGAACAACATGTTTCTTTTTTATGTCAGCATGTAACACAGCATTACCGTGCTCAAATGTTTCTGCTGATTGTGATGCTTATCTGAACTTTGCAGGCAACTATTTACAGGCCACTGCCCTGTGATGGACTGGCGACCTGTCCAGGGTGTATCCTGCCTTCCGCCCAATGACAGCTGGGATAGGCTCCAGCACCCCACCGCGACCCAGAAGGATAAGCGGTTTAGATGATGTATGTATGTATGTATTTACAGGCCAGCAATTTGACACACACACAAACACACACACTTTAGACTTTAGGGGGATTATTTTAAAATGTCACTAAATCGGTTTTTGCACTTTAGTAATCTCCCACTTTAGGTTACGGTAAATACTGTATATTTATTTAGAGATTTTCACGTCAATTGTTTGTGCTTAAAAAGACTGTATCCATAGTCAAAATGAATTTAGAGAACTGATGATAAAGGCACAGATGAAAGGACCCTGCCAACATGCTCATAGCTGTATTTTCAAACACAGTGCATACACTGTAAAACCTGATGAGTTAACTCAAATGATTTGAGGAAACTGATTACGTCAAATGTTTTAAGTTGAATAACATTTAAACTTAAGTAAATTGTACTAAATTCATTTGTTTTGTTGCTATTAAAATGATTGAGTATTTGGGTCTTTAAGTTTAAGCAGTTCTAACTCAAAATAATTAAGTCATTGTAAATGAAATTCACCAATAGGCTATCATTTTGACAAATTCATATTGTATTGCAGAAATATGATCATAGACATTTGTAACATGGTCTTGTCCACCTCAACCTTTTTAACTCCTTGGAACCACCAGTGGTTCCACAACGCACTTTGTCAAATTCTTTACTTCATAACTTTCATATTTCATAAGCTTCATTCAAAAGATATCATATGAGAGCTGTAACTGTCTTCTTTCCAGTCAAATAGATGGGTAATGTAATTTTAAAACTTTATAATAAAACAAGTTGAACTCAATTTTTTTTTTTTCTACTGAAAGTTGAACCATTTTTCTACAAATCTAAGCTACAAACTGGATCTCAGATGGTGTGATATGCACTGTAAAAATTATTTTTATAAAAAAATACAAAGAGCATCTAAGATTGTTTGCTTTCAGCAGTAAATTGTAAGCATATAGCATTATGTTTATGATCATAAAACACATTTTCTGTTAATTTGAGGGGAACTTTTACCAAAAAAAAAACGACAAGCATACGAGCGTTCGAACATAGGAGGTTGACGCCACTACAGACCACCTCTCCAAACATTGACAGTACAGTCCAGATGTAGTCTCTGTAGCATTAAGCCACAGCAGAACCACACTCAGTAGTGAAGTACTTAGGAACAGTTTCTCAACACTGATTTTTGATCAGTACTGATTGGCATGTGTCACTACAATTTATAAATCTCGTTGACACAAGGGAAGGTAGGCTGGGGAGAATGACAAGACACAGATAGTGAAGAGACATGCCCAATATGTAAATATATGGTACTAAGAGCCAATAGGAATGATGTGAGTTTTACTCAAGAAGGTTGCATTGACCAAACATTTATCAAGTAAAGAGTAGTTATTTAATAAGTTTATTCAACTCAAAGATCCTGTTTGAGTCTGAAATCATCAAAATAAAATTATGAAAAAAGCACGAAAGTCCAAATCATTTAAATGTAAACATGCTGTCTATCAGATTAAGCCACATAAATTTTCAACAGTCTTTAAAAACAACCCATTACTGGCCTGTTTGTATTTGCATGTAAAGTCAAGTTCAATAAAAATAGTAAATATAATACATTTGAATAAAGTTACCTTAACTCAAAATATGCTGAAAAAAAAGTCATACTCAAAATAACTGAGTTAATATCTCAATAATTCGTTTTTGAGTTAATTTGATTTTTTTCAGATTGTTACTCCAAATTTCTGTAGTATTTAAGTTGTATTAATTTAATTATTTCATTAAGATGTGCAGTGAGCTTTACAGTGTAGGAAACAGCATGAGTACAGATGAGACTGCTCACTCTGATAATGTTCCCTCAGCTCTTCTTTACCATTAATAAACAAGCTTTAGCTTGCAAGCTAGCAAGTAGCTTTGCGAGCCAGAGGGCTAAACAGCTGGATGGTTATCAACCTTAGCTGGTAGTGGCCATTAGCTAACGAAGTCAACTGTGTCAATATTTCTCAAATGCACTGAAGTGTGTATTAACAAATTTGTTTTCCTTTTCATTCGATTGAAGAGGGCATTGTTGCTCTATGTTAACCACATCTGCAGCACACCGTTCATCATCAGTTTAGCAACTTTTGGAAGAAACCAATGCCATTGGGAAATGGGGTGTGTGACTTTCTGAGGTAATGTCTATGACATAATTAGAAGAATTCATTTGACTCATAATGTAAAATGACCATAACTACATATTATAAAAAAAATATTTGTGTGCACTGCCTTCCGCTGTTCGCAGACTTGTCTAGCTGACATATCTAAACCACTGTCGACCCACACCGCGGTACCTGGCTATAGACCACTGTAGTCGTGCGTCATTCTGTAGTCCTCGTTATGCCCATATTAGGAACTCCTGGTCTAAGCCCCATTTCTCTGTGGCCAGAATGAATAGGGTTTTCGAAGAATCGCCTCTATTGCACACTGTGTTAAATAAAAATGTTCAGAACCTGATACATTTTGTCCTGTGTACATTTTTCTCCCGAATACTACTGGATCCTCAGAATTACGAGGTCGTGAAGAGCTATAATACTAATATTGCTACATGTGAGCTAAAGCTACTGCACATCAATTTGATGTCACTAAGCTACACGAAACTATGGCGGGCTGTGGTGGTGCTCTGACGAGTTGTGCTACCTTATCAAAATGTTCTACCGTAGCGCATAATTACAGGAATACCCGTAAATAAATTCTCTGGGTGGGATACTTTGATAGGCTAAAACTCCTTATCAAAAATACTACCCGTGTTAAAACTACAAGGCTGAATTTAGTTTCTTTTTTCGTAGCTTCTTGTTTGAATGTTCCCGTTCCACCTTAAATGGTGCAGTAGCTCTGACTAGCTATCACAAACATTAGCAAACAAGACAAAATACTGACCTGTTAGTTTGGTGAAACAGCAAAAATAATTTAATGTTACTCAGCTGTTAAGTGTAAACAGTGAAACCTCCTCATATTATGCCTTTCAACCTTCCATGAAGCTGAAGTCAGCTTCTTTTTCGCCGGCTGCTTGTTCGAATTTTCCTGTTCCACCTTAAATGGTGCAGCAGTTCAGAACATGACTGCTGCACCATTTAAGGTGGAACGGGAAAATTTGAACAAAAAGCTGGCGAATGTCCTGAGAAAATGTCCTCAGAAAAATGTTACCAGCATTAAAGTAATAATTAGGATATTTTGATAGCCTATATCAGTTTATCAGGGGGTCGACAGTGATATTAAGCTGAGTCTGTACTGGATTAGCCTGAGTGCAGGCATGTTTGTAGATCTTTTCAAAACAAGCTAAAAGGAAATATTTATCGTGTTTCAGTGAGCATCAGATGAAGAACAGAGAACTGCAGGGAAAGCTGCTGATTTCGTTCTTGCTTCTTTTCATCTGCCCTCAGTCTAAACATGGAAATGTACGCTGCCAAACCTGCTTAAGGAGGCCAGAGCCAGTTTATACAAGTTCTCTAAGGAGGCTGCCAGTCTAATGACGTGAATTCAGTGTGTAATAGCTTTAGCTTAAATGTAGCAATATTCATATTTCAACTATTTAACAACCTCGTAATTCAGATGATCCAGTGGTATTCGAGAGAAGAATGTTCACAGGACAAAACGTATCTGTTTCTGAACATTTTTATTTAACACGGGGTGCAATAGAGGCGATTTTTCGAAAACCCTATTCATTCTGGCCATGGAGAAATGGAGCTTAGATCCGGAGTTCCTAATATGGGCATAAGAGCGTGGCGCCGACCACAAAATGACAACAAGACTACAGTGGTCTATGCTTAGTTTCTTGAACTAGAAGGGGCTAAGGAGGCAGGGCTGCAAACCTCCCCTTCCATTAAGCTGTCACTGGCAGCTTTATGGAGTTAGTTTTGTGCCAAAATGTTTGAGAGAAGATCCTGATGTTTGAGAGAGGAATGCTCCCGTTTGAGAGGACAGCGCTGCTCTGAGCGCACAGCTAGTGAACTTGAATGCACTTGTCAGCATGAAGTGCGACAGATAAACACCTTCAGATTTGCTCAAATTGTTTTTTGATGACACCATTATACAAGATAAATATACAGGATTAACAAGATGAGCCTATGAAGACAAGCGCTATAAGAGAGTTAAGACTTTTCAATAGAACACTGTCAGACATTGTGAGCTACATTCAAAGAAACCTTGCTAACGTCAGCTTAGTTGACTTATGTTAAGCTATATATTTGCAGTTAGCTAACGTTAAGCCCTCTGGTAGGAAACCAATGACCTAGCTACCAATGTTAGTTAGATTAATACGTTATTATTTATGACAGAGTATAACTGATAAATCATTTCTATTCATTTGATACTACATAGAAAGCTATAAACCATCTAGCTAATGTCGAGGCTACTAGCACACTAGCCGACTCAATACCACAGCCACGAACGTACCTTAAACAATTGGCATAAAGCTGCTTAAGAAAAGACACCATGATTGGTGCGCTGACGGGAACCGCCCCCCGGCAGCTCTGATTGGCTGGAGTTTTGACACAAACGTTCAGACTTTTTACAGTGAGCAGATGTGAAAGTTGAGCGCGCGCTGTGGAGCTGAGAGCAGAAATGATTTGCGCGCACGTGCGAGTTTTGAAGGTGAAGAGCACGATTAAGCAAGTTTTCCACTTTGAATGAAAACCGGAGTGTTTTGCACATACAAGCTCTGAAAGGAAAATGCACTGTTGTGCAGATTTTAGTTTTGAATGAAACCACAGTGTTTTGTTGAGCAAATCCGAAGGTGTTTATCTGCCGCACTTCATGCTGACAAGCGCATTCAAGTTCAGTAGCTGCGCGCTCCGAGCAGCGCTGTCCTCTCAAACGGGAACATTCCTCGCGCAAACATCAGGATCTTCTCTCAAACATTTTGGCACAAACAGGAACAATCGTGCTTCCATTCAAATACTGCCTTCTTTCTTTCACTCAGCCAGGTGAGGTTTACTGCGCGCAGGCAGGCAAGGCCAGAGCTTTGAGTTTAGTCGCACTATCAAGCGATGTGTTTAGACACACTCGGAGACCAACTGCCAGCGGGGACACCGCTCTGCTCGACGAGGTTTGAATTGCTTCGGATTACAACCTATGTTTGTCCCGCTGTTCTGAGCTGCGCTGTCGCTGGCCAGAGGAATGCCATCAGCTGACGCGCACTACATGTAACGGTGCCAACACTGTTCCCAAAGCACCTGTTCTCTCAAGACATTATTTCATTATTATCATATCCTCAGCCCAGTCACAGAACTCATTCCAAAAGTGCAATGTTATCAAGCCCCCAGTATGGTGGGAAAATTATATTATATTATAAACACAACAAAAGACGTTGCATTAATATGCGCAAGAAAAAATCAAATATATATATATATATATACATGTGTGTGTGTGTATGTGTGTGTGTGTGTGTGTGTGTGTGTGTGTGTGTGTAATACACAACTCAGCCACAGGGGGTCTCCGTTACCCCACAAATGCTGCTAAACACGTCCAACTCGCTGTCCATGCAGCAGAGTGGCGCAGAGAGGACTGTTGTCATGGGTTACCACTTGCAGTTTCGAAAGCCCCGCATCCCCCACCCCCACTGCTTTTCCAGCGTGTTCTACAGTCGAGTGCCGCACAATGCTGCTTTTCTCAAGGTGGAGATAAAAATCTCCTTTGAACACATTTTCTATTGCCAATTTGCTTTTACGTAAGTTCAATGCTGTTTTGCTATGAAATAAAACTGATACTCTTTAGTTTTTACAAGGCATGATTTTTTGTCTTTCAAATAATCAACCATCTGCATAAATTTTCGGTGCATATGTTTTTATTTATTTTATTATAACAACCAAAACCCCAATGTTTTTCTTTTAAGTGAGCATTATTACTTTCGTTATTCATAATGCATGTTCATATGAAATATTTTGGCAATAAAAAGAGACTTGTAGCTACAGAAAAAAGACCAGTGACTATAGCCCAATAGCCAGACCCTAAATACACCCCTGGGCTAGCTCCAGTTCTGGAGAGACAGAGATGGCTGCTATGAACATATGCCATTTGTCATGTATGGATGGCTGAAAAAGTGAAGCAGTTTAAAAAAAAAAAATTGTAGATCGCCTGGTAGCTTACATTCAAGCAGTTTGTATGCCTATACAAATCAGCCTACCTATCACCTGGTAGTACGATTCAAGTCCAATAACCTCACCCCTGCTTTTAATCCCTGGGTTACCTTCTGTCTTTGTGGTGCTGTTGTGGACTCACATGACAACTGCTAGCTTCTGGTCAAATTTACACAGCAATATTCTCTAAAAGAAGGCAAGCCAGTGGTAGAAGTGGTTAGTAGATGACAGTATCCAGCCCCCTCGGTTGGTCAAAATAAGCACAGTGCGAGACGTCTGCCCGTCTGCTCTGCTACAATAACTTAGGACTTTTTGGCGTGTTTTTAATTCACAGTTAAAAACAGGAACATTTCCAGTGAAAGCTCCAGCACAGGCCACCAAAAATGTAGACTGTCCCTGGAATATGGGGACGTCTGGTCACCCTAGCACAGACTGTGTTTTCACCAGTTTCTCCTTTATTATTTGGAGCTGCTGGCAGTTTTTTATCTCTACATTACTTCCTCCTGGTGCTGAGAGGACAGCACAATTTAATCAGAACAGACAACACCACTGTAGTACCATACATAAACAGGCAAAGAGGTTCATTTCCTCTTTTGATGCTGTCTCATTTCCTTCTGAAGTGGTGTAGTCTTTGCCTACTGTAACTCAGGGCAACATGTGTGCCAGGTCATCTAAACCTAGGGACAGACCTCCTCTCCAGAGGAGGCCTCCAGCATGGGAATGGAGACTGGTTTGGCAGAGCCAATGTAGATCTCTTGGCATCCAGAGAAAATGTACATTGTCCTCTGTTTTTCTTTCTGGCAGACCACAGCACACCCCTGGGAGTGGATGCACTGGCACACCCATGGTCCCACACTCTGCTCTATGCATTTTCCCCAGTAGAGCATTGTGAGGAGGATGCAGTATGTAGAAATATTCAGTCTCCTTGCAGGAGATCCATGGGCTTCCTTTTGACAGGGATGTTCTGTCTCAGGCAGGCGGGTAAATAGTTCATCCCTGACCAGAGCTGTGGTGTCTCCATGCTTACCTGCTGGTTATCATGGTTGCCAACCTCACTATTGTGAGGGACATAATGCTTCCTAGCCAGTCCCCTCAACCTTTAACCAGGCCTCCCCTAACATGAAATTCTGGCTATAATTCTGCTATGAATCTTCAATAATAATTAAAATTATAAGGTTGATTTTGATGGCCAGCAGTTTGCCTTCTAATGTCGTTGCTACAGTTTAGTAGGGCTGCCTCTATAAGAGGCTTGTATGCATATAAATGAAACACATTTGAATTTTTGTTGTCAGGGGAGAGAGATTGTTCCCTTGTTTCATTGTTGATATTTTAATTTTCCTTCAGCAGTTATTAGAGCAAGTGCTCTCATTCTCGACAAAAAAGGTCTATATCAGCCTGTCACGTTGGGAGCACATCCCCTAGCTACATGTGTCATGAGAATTGTTCCATGCTTAAAAACTATAACTAGTCCCACGTACTCTTGTCCTTGAAGCCATATGTGGACCTCCCTTTGAGCTGCTGGAGTTTGTGGGCATGAAGTTTGTTTCATATAATATGCTTCTGCTCCTCACTTTAGCCTCTACAGAGTGTGTGGGTGATCTCTATGCACCATCAGTGTACCCTTCATGTACTCAGTTTGTGCCAGGTGATGCTATGTCTATGTCTTATAGCTTGCGAGATGATTTACTTCTCTGCTTCTCCATTTGCATCTGAGGATCAGCAAAGGCTGCACATGCTCTGCACTGTGTATATACATTAATCGTATTCAGGTTTTCTATATGTGTGACCAGCTGTCTGTCTTGTTTTGCCAACCCAGTCCGTGGCAGAGTCTAAACAGCATCTCTCCCACTGGGTTATGGAAGCTATTTCATTACCTTACAGAAGCAAGGGTCTGGAGTTACCTGAGCTCATTCCACAAGGGGAATGGCTACATCTTGAGCCTCTTTTGAGAGCATCCCCATAGGAGACATTTGCACTGCTGCCTCACCTCATATGTTACTGTGATTGCATTGCCTGGACTTGGTGGCCCCCTCAGTGGCTTATGCAGTTCTTTCTTTGGGGACTGAAATGCACTAGGGTGCTCTCCCTGTTCGGTGTCTGCTTTGCAGGGTGTGAATATATGTGCCATACGCTATGTGTTGTCCCAAGTGAATTGACTGATAGGGAATGCAAAAAAAAAAACAGTTCAACAGTTCCCTGAAAGAGAGAAACAAGGTACAACACAAGCTGCCCAACTTTACCATTAGCTCGGTGAAGAGTGGCATCTTGAACTGAGGAAAGAGGGGGTTATTGGGAGGGTCCTCATTACAATGTGTCATCTGCCTTACAGGAGTGATTAAAGGTGTCTTCAGGCAGACACAGGTTGCATTATTCCATACAGTATATGTTGTACATGAACACCATTGTAAAGAAAACAAAGTTTGATTCTGCAGGAAAAAAAAATTGCAGACATTCGCAACCATTCACCCTGGACATCTATGCCTAGTGTTGTCAGAGGTAAGACTCTCATTAGTTAGCCTTTACCTACTGTATACTGCAATTTTATTAAAGTGACTAGGCAGTTCTGGTTATAATACCTAGCTACACTGAAGTAGGCTTGTTGGTTGTCAGCCTCACTATAGTGATGTCTCTGGGACATAATGCTTCCAAGCCAGTTCCCTCTACCTGTAACCAGGCCTCTCCTAAGATCAAATTCTGGCTATGCTACTGCTATAAATCTTCAGTAATGATTTGATTTGAATTATTCAGTAACTACTATAAATTACTCAGTAACTACTACAAATTATTCAGTATCTACTATGAATTATTCAGTAACTACTATGAAACTCATTCTTTTTTTTCTAGACTGACCTGCTCCATCCAAACAGCGGTGGTGCTGAGGCGAGCAGAGAAAAGAACCAGGTGATTGCACAACCAATGATGGCATGAGTTCCCTTAAAGGAAAAGTTCCCCACAGGTTTACAAATGACCAGCCACCTCTCGAAGGCCACCACAGAGAGAGACCACAAGCTGACCATACCTACACAGAAAAAACACACAAAAGGCAAACATACAGTGAGCTACTGATCGTGAACCCTGTAGTGCCTTTGAGAAAATAAGAGTAAACAGCCGAGTATTTATAATTTCAACAGCAAAAACCTCCCAATGTATGTTCTCTTTCAGATTTTGGAAGAAATCATATGTTCATATATATATATATATATATATACGTATGCTGTGTGTATATATTCATATGCACTGGAAAAAATAGCATATACATTGAAATGCTTTCATTCAAATGTCAGATCATTTTCACATGAATAAATTATATCAACAGAATTTTGTATTTTAGTTGACTTACTTTTTCCAATTGTTTTGATGTATGTAATTTTATATTAATTGAATTATTAATTCAGTCAGCCATTTATTTCAGTGTGGAAAATGATACAGTGATATAGACAGCATGGCTATGCTAAACAGAGAATAACACACAGTACCTCCTAAGGTCGCAACAAATCCCTCGATTTTACATGCTGTGGGTCCGAACACGAAGTAGCGGTTGAGAAAGGAGACAAAGGCAGTGAAAGAGCCAACAGTGGACACCAGCAGGTTGGATATAGCCAGGTTTACAAGAATATAGTTGAGGTGTGATCGAAGCTTCTTGTATTGGATGGTGCAGACGATGGTGAGGGCATTGATGGAGGTTCCACCGACAAACAGGAAGAACATGAAGACCGCCATGCCCATGAAAATTCCTGTCCCTCCCAGGTGGTCCTGTGGGACCAGGAAGGGACTGAGGGCTGTGATGTTATTGGTGTCCAGTGGGATAGGGATGTAGAAATCCTCTGGTAACTCTTGCTGACGATTCTTCATTTTGCCTCCGTGAGAGCCCACCAAACACTAAACAGCAGTAAATTTTCGAAAAGGCTCTTACAATTTTATTTCTGTCCCTCTACACACAGCTACAGCATTGCTTAGGGATTGTGCAACATCTAAATGTTCTTCAGCCAGACTGTGAATGCAGGTTATTGTCTGAAATCTCTGTCCTACTTGATGTCCTAAGTGATCTTTTATAGGTCTCATAGGGCTGTTCCTGCTAATTACATGCTCACTGTCTCACACATACACACATGCATGTACATTGCAAATACACTTGTATTGTATAAGACACTCCACTTTTAATCTCCTTTCCAGTAGCAGAACCTGTCTAATTTGGATAATCCCATCCACTGAGCACTATGATTCGGTCTTAGCGCTGTTTGCTAATCTGCCAGACAATGCTGCTAAAGCGGCTAATCGCGTGTATTTGGCTTCTCTGTAATCCACTCCGGGGGAATTATCCCTCATCTTTGTGGCTCAGCCTGCTGCATGTTCCTGACTTTGGAAGAACCACAGAGATTTCCTTAACCAAGAAGGGGATTATTCTGATGATCTGCATTATATGAATCAGAATTGAATCAGGCTATATAAAAGCCCAGGCCATGCTACATCACTATTATTTATTACATGTAGCTTTTTGATAGCAGCATCATATCTTCATAACAACATTTGTGTAACACCTAAGCACCAGCGATCATTAATACTGAATAAGTATGAACATTCATTCTTCAGTTAAATGAAGCTGGGTGGCAAAACTTCTTGTGTTAAACCGACGATAGAAATATAAACAGCATTTCAGCTGAAATAAAATTTGCCTTTTTAGAATGCCTTTTAGAGGGGTAAACAATATGCTTATCAATAGCCTTATTTTTATCCTTAATCCTTTGCACTCCTCTCACAACTTTTTGTTTTGCAGTATCATGTCTAAATCTCGGGCGGCACGGTGGCGCAGTGGGTAGCGCTGTCGCCTCACAGCAAGAATGGCCTGGGTTCGATTCCCGGCCGGGCGACCAGGGTCATTTCTGTGTGGAGTTTGCATGTTCTCCCCGTGTCTGCGTGGGTGTCCTCCGGGTACTCCAGTTTCCTCCCCCAGTCCAAAAACATGCAGTCAGGCCGATTGGACGTGCTTAAATTGCCCCTAGGTGTGAGTGTGTGTGTGACTGTGTATGTCTGTCTGTCTGCCCTGCGATGGACTGGCGACCTGTCCAGGGTGTATCCTGCCTTCCGCCCAATGACAGCTGGGATAGGCTCCAGCACCCCACCGCGACCCAGTAGGATAAGCGGTTTAGATGATGTATGTATGTCTAAATCTCAATTAGAAATAAGAGCCATTTAGGCTTACACCTTAAAAGTATGTGTGCAGTGCCCATCAGTGCAGTCTCGTGCGCTTTGCTAGCCAGTTGATGGCCTGGTTATGGACGACTCCCTTCCTGAGTGCTCCTAGTGCTCCACTATGTCTAACACAACTGTTCTCTTGTATTCTCATTCCACATTCTTCTGATTTCCAGGTCCTTGTACATATTGAGTTTCTCACCTTTGAGTTTCTACATTCTTAGCCCTGCAATTGCTTTCGGGTGACACTGTTGGATGAACTAATCTTATCTTTTAACGTCACTTAAAAAGACAATGGCTAAATGATAGACAAGACTCTTGCTTGACTAGTTCACATCCACCGTCACTTTTGGTGACATAAGGTCTTTGATGTAAACCTTAGGGGAAGAGATTTTTTGTGAGGAGCTCTTGAATCTTGTGATTGATCTTCACAATGTCTATTCTCACCCAGTTCATCATACCAAACATAAGTACAACTGGTACAACTAGTAGCTGAACATGAACCTTACATTACATTTTTTTCTGTTACTGAAATGCCAGCTTCGCATTGCTTCTGTAATTGTAATTCCTTTGTGATAGGCATCCTCTGAAAATGGGTGTCAATGTAGTTAACCCAATTATGAGTAGACTCACTAGACTTAACAAGACTTAACTGATGCTTATATTAATCTAAACCCAGACTCTACCATTTACATGGCATAATTGAAAATTTTCCTCAAAACTCTGGTACTGACCTACAGTTGGTTTTAGACTCTTTGAATTCTTTTTGGTTTCAGTTTCTTGGACTCACTTACCATTAACTGACCACTTGATTATAGACATAGTTTTTAGAGAGACGTTAAATCCATTATTGACATTTCTGCATGTGCAAAGTGGGATCTCTTAAAATATGATTGTGATGTGAAAATGTTCAGTTTCTTGTGGAAAGAAAATTTCTGGCCTTGAAGTGAGTAGCAATTAAGACAAGACAAGACAAGAAAATTCTGTATTCTACAGAAGAGGAATTAAACTCTATTCCTTGAAAATCCTTTGTAAGATCTAGGGTCAGATGGATCAAAAATTGGTAAAAAAAAATTTCAGGTTAACAACAGTTTGACCTTTTCTTCTAAAGCAATTTTGCAACACATTTTTAACTTTTATAAAAAATTTATAACCCTGCTCACTTATTCCAGGTGTTCAACTGTCTATGACGGTTTGTTGCAGTTGCCCATATCAACATACACACACAATTCAAACCCCAGTGACATCTCCACCTTTGCCAGTCTGCCCTGCTTATGTACCTTAACATCATGCACCTGATAGCCCCACAACACCATTTTACTTACAATACCAATGTAGTGAAATCACTCCACACGTCTACAGCAGGTCTTGAACCCAGGTTTCCTGAAAGGCAGACATGTACATCAGACCAAAAAAACAAATCTTTGACCAAGCAACAAGTACATTTTCACCCCAAGTGAACACTGAATGACTTGAATGACCTGTGTCATTCAAAAAGAAAATAATTACATTTATTATTTCACCTAACAATACACAAAAACAAACTTCAGTGCAGTAGCATATCACAAGCACTCAGGTCTGTCATGGTCACAAGCACCTCATGCCCATAAGCTTTATTATTCCCTCTGTTTTCCAAAGAAATCCTTTGCGAGGATTTAAGCTATTAAATCATTTTTGCCGTATAGTAAACTGGAAAGAGAAGGGTACTTGGGATTCTAATTACTTATGTGGCAATTGAAATTTTATTCAGTAGGTGATGAAATCTGAAGTCTAAGGTAACTAAACTGGCTTATTAACTATTTTGCTTAGCTAGCTCTTTACTTTGCAGCTGAAAGGGAAGATACACTGTACTGCTACTGTAGTGTACGTAACAAGTGTCTACAGTTACACAGTCATCCAAAGCTTAAAATTTTGTCTTGAGACTGTAAACATCTGAGCAAAAACATTCATTCTCCAAACATACATGTTCATTTTAGCATTAGCTATACTAGCTATCAAATTAACAAGCATACCCCCTTAAACATGCAATAGCACACGGTTAAAATTTAGAGCTTTTAAGTTAGATAAAGAAAGTCAGAAGAAAGTGTCCCAAGTCAACTAATGAAAATGCTTTCGACACATTGTGCTTGTTGCAATACAATATGACTGTGAAATATGATGATTGTGGAAAATAATTTATGCTTTTTGGTTCTAGTTATGTACATTCTTTTTTGAGACATAATAAACTAGTTGCTTCTCCCCCTCACTCAAGCATCTTAGACATCATAATGGTACAGCAATTACCCTGTTAGGATAGGCCCTAAGTAGCTGCCTATGTCATTTATTAGATAGAGCCGGCACTGATATAGTGCCTTCCCGGGGTTTAATATTAACAGAGGCATAAGGCAGGGGAATCCCATTTCATCTTTGTTGTTCTTACTGGTGCCAAAATGTTACCCGTATGTGTTATGCACTACTCTGGTGTTGAGGACAATAATATTGGATAAAATTGTAGACAAACATCTTAAATACAACCAACTCATAGATGATACTACTATTTTTTAAATGGTCAATCTCAGGCGTATCCTATTATTTTAAGTCTTGAGTTGTTTTCTAAGTCTTCCAGATTTGCTATCATTACCAAAAGAGAGAAACAATGTTTGTGAACCATTATTACATGTATTTTGTCAATTAAAGTCAAATGGAAAAATAGGATTAAATATCCTGGTCTTCGCATGAAATAATTTATTTCAACTTTCACCCAGAATTAAGGATCTTCAATTTATGGTTGCAGACATAAATTTCTATTTATAAGAGCATGTTGCTTTCTGAGACCAAAGGCATTTCATGCTTTGAATATCCTGCTGTCTCCTTTTACTTTGACTCTAATAACAAATACTTCACCCCTCCCTACAAATATCTAATCAAAAAGGACAGTAAACAAGCGGTAAATACATCTTAGGTTATTCAATTATTTCTGGACAAATTGTAAATTTTCTTCATTATTTTTGTTCTTTTTTCTTCTGTAGATCACTGGTGGTAAAATGGTTCATATTTAGAGTTCAGGAACTTTCAGTGTGGTACTATTATAGGATGTCACCTTCCCATCAAATAAGTTTCTGCTATGCTAGAGCTGCCCTAGGTTGTATGTGCTATGATTATGAAGTAGAAACATCTAGGAGCAAAACCATCTCAGTAACAGGACTGCAGATTGCTGAAATGCATAGCAATGTAAAAAAATCATCTGCGCTTTTTTCAGTGTTCACTGTTGAATTCCAAACTGCCCCTGGAAGCAATTGCAAGAACTATCCATCACAAGCATCATGGCTGTGCAGCCCCACACATGCCTAAGATCTCCATGCACAATGCCAAGAATGGCTAAAGTGGTGTGAAGCACACCACCACTGGACTCAGGTGGTGTGGAAACATATCCCTGGAGTAATGAATTTGGCAGTCTGAAGGGCAAATCTGGGTTTGGTGGGTGGTGGATTTGCCCAAATACAAACTGTAAAGTTTTATGGAGGAGGAATAACCAAGCTTTTGTTGTGCAAACCATGGTTTGTGTTTCCCCAAGAGGTTGAAAATTCAGTTGAATACCACAGATAGTACAATAGTGTTCTCCTCCAAGCATGTTGAGCTGTCCAGTGATGTTACATTATCAGCAGTGACTTCATTTCATACAG